GAAGGCCAAGTACTCCTTTGGGTCGCTCGACTCCAAGGTCTTCCGCTACTGTGGCAGGTTGATAGAGCAGACCGAGACCGGTGTGAAGGTCACATGTCCTGACCTGATCACCCGCGTACGTCCTATACAGCTAGAGCCGCGCCGCCGTGGACAACGCGAAGCTCCAGCTTCAGAGGACGAAAAGAACCAGCTGCGGTCCATTATTGGGTCGCTCTCGTGGCTTACGCGAGTGTGTCGGCCTGACCTCTCCTATGGTGTGGCCAAGCTGCAGACGGCGATGACTAAGCCGTGTGTGCAGGACCTCCTCGACGCCAACGCTCTTGTTAAGTACGCGAGCCGGACCAAGGAGGAAGGATTGGTCTACAAGGCCGGGGCCATGGACTTCGAGTCGGCGACGATTGTGGCCATACAAGACGCATCCTATGCGGCCGACTTTGACGTCAGCGCCAAAGGCGACAAGCTGGGCTACCGCAGCCAGTCAGGCAGGTTGCTCTGCCTGGCCCACAAGGACTACCCCGAGAAGCTGGACGGCGTGCTGTACCCGGTGGAGTGGCACAGCACGGTGATCAGGCGAGTTTGCAAGTCTACTTTGCAAGCTGAAGCGCTTTCGCTCCAGATGGGGGCGAATGAAGCAGAGCATCTACGTGCAGTTTGCCATGGACTCTTGAAGCCTATGGCCAGGACCGATGCGAAGCAGTGGACGATAGATGCTCAAGATGGACGGCAAGTGGTTTGGGTGACTGACTGCTACAGCCTGCTCTCCCACCTGACCAACCCTACGGGAACCAGTGTAGCCGACAAGCGGCTGGCGATCGACCTGTGCAGCCTGCGTCAGGAGCTGTGGAGAGCCGAAGGAGAAGAAGTAGGAGACCCCTTGTGTACAGACCGTTTGCCGGAGCAGCCAAGCACCAGACTTGTTTGGACCACCACTGATCGTATGGTGGCCGATTCCCTCACGAAGAAGATTGTGGGGCACGAGCCGATTTACCGGCTCATGAGGGGTGAAACCACACTTTTGCTGCCAAATCCACATCAGAAAAACACTACGGGTGTGAATTCTAGCTCTTTTGATGCAGAGGGTCAGCAGGACTTGCAAGCCTGATGTGGATGCGGCAGAGCTTCATACGACACGACCGTGGCTCAAGCCAACGCGAAAAGGTGTGATTGCCTTTCACATGTGCATTCGGCTGCTTTCTTTTCAGACCCAGAGTCTCATTGCCCGGTCGGATTGGTGACAAAGTTGCAACATGAGCTCAAAGTGTGGAGCAGCAGCTGCACACATACATTGAACTTTGTCTGCATGCCTCTGGTTCGTCCAACAAATAACGAGGCAGTGCCGTATGGAATTCATCGGGGTGGGTTCTTTGGCTTGTTTACGATTGCTTACTAGTATCCTTGTGATTGTTGGCATCATGAAGTACCAAATCTTCACTTTCAGGACTAGTTCGGCATGGCGATCATCATCGCTCAGAGCTTCGTGAGCAGTGTTGTTGCCCTTGCAATTCCGTGTACATACGCCGACCTCTAGGAAATGGCATGGCTCTAGTCTACTCCATTTCTAGCTTTATCTAGTATCGAGCCTTCACCATTCAGCAGGATTCTCTCTCGTCATTCTTCGAGCAACTCAACATGCCCTGGTGGAGTACAACTATGACTGTTGTCAACGTCGGACAGTTTCAATCATCGCCATCATAATCACCACCATCATCATCATCACCATGCCCAACATCACCATTTTCACGGTCATCATCATAAATAATGACCATCATCATCATCATCCCCCATCCTCATCCTCATCCTCATCCTCATCCTCATCCTCATCCTCATCCTCATCATCGTCATCATTATCAGCATCAGCACCATCATCAGCATCATCATCTCGTCGTCGTCGTCGTCGTCGTTTCAGTCGTCGCTTTCAGTTCTCGGAATCATTAGGTAACAGTCTTGTCTACGTAGCCTTCTTGTCCATGACCACTGGTGCTCCGTCGACCTTTGCATTTTCGATCGCAGAGCTGGCATTTGGGGATTGTCGCCCATCCGATGAAAAGAGAGAATACTATTGTCCACCGTGGATGTTGCATGCAGAGATGTCGCCAACATGTACAGAACTGGCCCCGAGGTGGCGCAGTGTAGGACAGGTGTAGACCTCATGCACATTCATGTGCGGGTTTTGGAACAGCGACAACTACACTCACCAAAGTCTAGTCCTGCAGCGGTTTCTTTGGAGTTATATGCCCGCATACCCAAAGCCGCCAGCGCTCTCGAAAGGAACCGCAGCTCGAGCCAGGCTAATGCCATGCTGGTGGAGTCCTTCCTCAACGTCAAGCGCTCCCTGGGGGCGGAGGCGGGTCGCAAGCGCTTTGTGCTGTGCTGGCAGGCTGCGAGCCTTAGCTTTCAAGACAGTGCTGGGCTGGGCAACGTTGAAGGCTTTGTCCGAGTCGTACAGAGAGCCCTCACGGCAGGGCACCTCAGGGCATTTCTTGGGCAAATGACTTTTCATCTCACAGTTCTGTATGGATGGGCTTCAGGCTTTATCATCTTTCCATGAAGCTTCTGTGGTGACAGATCCACTTCGATCGGAGATGTTCCGGGTCCGGTGCAGGGTGAAGCGCTTCCTCGTTGGCTGCGCCGTAGCATGACAATTTGAGAGCACGAAGATGAAGAGCCTTTCCCTTGATCCCGCAAAAATCCATCTTCAGCCAAAGCGTGGGCAAACCCTTCAGTGGCGAAGGGATTGAGACACCGAGGCCTCACGGTACGCATCTAGAAAGCAGTTGCTCCTGCAGCTCAGTACTGGCTGACCCACTAGCTTAGTTACGTGTTTCTTCTATGACGCTGTTACCGCATGATTGATGGTGGTATGGTGGAGCTTATCTCCATAGCATCAGAAGGATGCGCTTGGCTCTGCTGTGATCATGATTTCTCGGCATCATCGCCAAAACAGGTCCAAAGTCTTTGCCATGCCAGACGGGCTTGATCAACAGCTCTGGAATATTCTGCAGCCCATTCGATATGCCAGAAGCCACATCCTCGTGTGGCTCTCGAGGTCCAGTGCCTCACGTCTTCCTGCGCCTCCGCACGGCAATGACAGCTCACATCCCAGGAATCAAGGCACTGTGAAGCAGAGAATGAGGCCACGAAGAGGGCTGATTGCGACACATAAACGCCTGGAGAGAGTGCTGCAGCTGCGGGGTTACAAAATTTGGAAGTAGCATCCGAAACCCATCTAAACCCTAAGCTACAACGTCACGAACCGAGTGCACACACCGGATTCTCCGAGTTTCGGGCAAGCAGTTTTGTGGAGCCCGTATGAGGTGGGCTTCAGAGCGCAGGCTACCAGGCAGGATCGGGCCAAGAGTTCTCTTGCTTGTGGTGAATTTGCATCCAGTGCGATGACGATGTGTGACAGCATCGGCGATATCCTTGCAACGTAGAAGTGACATGCGCAGCGCTTGCACTCCGGCTTTCTGGGCTTTCTTCTATGAAGGGGTAGATGCATTGCCGAAACTGGGATATTGTGTGGGTTGCCAAGCAGAGATCTTAAGGCAAACTGTTGCGCGCATCTGGGTCAAGCTCGTCAGATCTTCTCAGCCAAGAGGTTCTGTGCAGCCTGCCTCCAGCTCCTCCACTGCGCGATCCGCTTGAGAGCGCTTACTCATGTAGCACGGGTGCCGACAGAAGCGGGTTTTGAAGAAGTTTGCGAGGTTACATCACAAGTTAGGAAGATTGCCGTCCTTGAGCAAGCATCCGTCGTGTGATGACATTTTGGCTCAGCCTCGTCCGCTTTGCAGAGCAGGGTCCCTCACTACGGGCCACAGCGCAAACACTCATACGATCCGGCCGTCTTTGAGAAGCCCACATTGCTTTTCCTTGCAGCAGTCTCTGCGAGAACGCACAGCCCACCGGAAACACACCACCCCGACCCGTCAAAATCCGGCAAGCCGGCACCTCGTTAGTTTTTGATTTCTGCACACGAAGACTCCGAGGAAGGCTCAAGCTTCAATTAGCAAATTGGTTCATGACAGCGTTTCGTGTGTCGGAAAGTGCATAACAGTTTGGCAAGATGTTTCACCAGGAGTGCGAGTTGCCGAACTTGGCGCCACACCTGTTGCAAATCAGAGCGGCTCGCAATGGGTTACATCTCGGAATGTTGGGGATCCCAATTCAGAAGCCCGGCAGGCAAGAGTTTCATCCGGGGCCTACGTAGACCTATCTTGTTACCGGGCCTGCGTCCGTCATCCTGATCAGCTGGATTCCTGAGCAGGCCTAAATCTGCCAAGATAGGGCTCTTCAGACTCCGACGTAGAACCTTCTTAATCCTTCATCCCTCACCTGCCAAAATTTTTGCCGGTGCCTTACACATACTCTCCACGCACTGAGCACGCGGGCCTGAGCCTCGGCCTTAAGCCACAATCCAATCATGTCCTCCTAAAATCCGCTATAAATGAAACCCACGATCACAACTTCAAATTGTCCTTGCGGCCCTACATCTTGCGGCCTACTTCATCCTGCCTGCGAAGCGGTTCGTCGCCCAAAAGTGTACATCCCCAAGTTTGCCCAGAGGTGTCGACCGGGCTCGCCACGCCACGCCTTCTGTCTTGGAGCGCTCAGGTTGGGCCTTCCAGCAGTGTTCAGGCTGGAATGCAAGTTTGGGCTATCGTGACCAAGCTCCGCGGGAGCGAGGCTTGCGAGTTGGGATCATTAAGCAACTCTCTTGCGAGGTGCTGCCTCACCGCAGCCATCCGATGTAGCAACAAGATGGTCTCATGAAGCTTTTCACAATTTCAAGCACCCACTGATAGACTAAATAAGCAAGCTCTGGCTTGCATCATGTTCTGATGACCCATTTTGTGTGCATACCCCCTTCTAGCCTGGCTGGAGCAGTCAGACAAGTATGCCCGTCAAGGCTTCCTGGCGTGATGTCACGGCGATGGCAGGGGTTTCTTAGAGTCTTAGAGCAGGCTACTACTAATAGGAGCGCGAGCCGGAACTGCCAAAGAATGGTCCGCTCGCGCTCGCCGCACAAGTCCCCGCGGAAGCGCTCCCCGCGGAAGCAGTGCTATGGCAACATTCGGTGGTACAATGGGAGGCGTCAGACGGGTCTCATCGATGCAGAGGATGGCAGGAAGGTCTTCATCCCAGTGGGTGGGGCCCTGAACCGGAACTGCGTCCCGGCGACACCAGGCGGTCTCATGCACGGCACCCGTGTGGTCTTTCGGATCGTCTCCTTTCTGGATCCGGACAAGCCCAAAGATAATGTCCAGCATGGCTGTACGGATGTTCGCCCCACGGACCCGGACCAAATTGGCTTAGAGTGCGGTGTGAACACAAGCATCGGCGGACGAGCGGTGAATGAAGACCGCTTGGTTTATTGTGATCTTTACGATCTCGGATTCCTAGCTGGAGTCTTTGATGGACATGGCGGGCAGCACTGCGTGGACTTCGTGAGGCAACGCCTTCCCGAGCTGATCCGCGAGAGCTGCGAGGTGTCAATTTGAGTCGCGTAGTGGTCCGGGCCCCTCCAAAGTCTCGAGAACTGAGGCTACCTGGGTCTGGCGCAGCATCTCGGAGGCATCAACGCCTTGACTCCCAGCGAGGACTGCGTGCCCTGACAGGTCGCTTGCCAGCTCGTGCATTTGAAGTGGAGAGTGGACCGCAGTGGACCCATTCTATCCACAGGAGGAGAAGCTGATCGAAGTCGCGTGTCGTAACGCCTTTGTGCAGACGGACTCCGAGTACCTTCAAAAAGCACGCGATTTGTACCTTGCCTTCGTTCCACGGGGTAAGGACTTCTGCAGGGCTGACCAGAAAGGTTCGTTTTGCTTGCTTGACTCTTGCAGTCTGGTAGAAAGCAGGCACCTGAACGACGGCTCGACGGGTCTGGTGGCACTCTTGGCCCATGGCTTTGAGGACGAAGGGCCGTCCACACGATCCCTGGTTGAAGGCCGAAAAATTGTAGGAAGCTGCGTTCGCACTGGGAAGGTCGCCAGTCAGGGTTCAGGTGCCCGGCTTTGTAGCCATTGTCCGCATGATTTAGCGAGGGATGCTATCGCCGGTCCTAAAGCCAAATGCTTGGGGTTGGGAGCAGTTTTGGCGAAGTTGCGGTGTCGAAGACCAGTGCAATCCGGATGAGAGGAGGCCCCCGAAAAGCCTGAAGGCTGCAAACCGGGTGGCTGCACGAAGCTCTTCGTGGCAAACTGCGGGGACTGCCGGGCCGTGCTCCTCCGTGGGCGCAAGGCGATCCGCTTGACCCAGGACAGCTCCGGTAGGCTCCCCAGTACTGTCGGACCGAACTTTTTGCAGGATCACAAGCCCGAGCGACCCGACGAGACGGCCCGCATTCAGCAAGCTGGTGGCATCGTCATCTCTACCCCCTGCGGCACACACCGGGTTGGCAAAAAAAACGGCCAATGGCTCCACGCCGCATTGGTCTCCGCATGTTTTGTGGTGTACAACAACGTCACTCGATTCACCAGCTGTTGTGTGTGTTGTGTGAGGTTTCTTTCCACCTCCCGATCCTTCGGAGACCTAGAGCTTAAGGAGCGGCCCGGGAGGGGTTGCAGGGCACGGACACAGAACCTCCACACATCTTCTGAGGCTAGGAAATTTGCAACGAAAGGTTTCTTTCCTCCCTACCAGGGCAAAGCCACGCCCTCAGCAAAGCCCTTAGCTCGAAGCACAGGAGCCACGGCCTCTTGTCATCGCTGAGCCGGAGCTGTTGGTCCATACGCTCGAGCCGGAGGACCGAGGGGGACGCGAGTTCTGCTTGGTAAGACTGTAAGCGGAGTGGGGTTCAAGGTGACGGTTGGAAGATCTGGGTTTGGGGACTTCAAGGACTGGGCTGTCGTCCTGGCCTCGGACGGCGTGTGGAACTGCCTTTCAGATCAAGACGTTTGGCAGGCAGTGTGGCAGGCGACTGGGCACCCACAACTAGTAAAGAGTGCTCATGGTGTTGCTGCTGCTGCTGCTGCTGCTGCTGCTGCTGCTGCTTGCTGCTGCTGCCGCTCTCATCTTTTTTCCTCCTGCTGCTGCTGTTGTTGCAGCAGCTGCTGCTATTACGACCACGATGACGACCACGACGACGACTGCGACCACGACCACGGCCACGGCCACGACCCACGATCCAGGATCATAACCACGACCACCGCCACGGCCACGATCACGACCACGACAACAGCAGCAACAACAACAACAGCAGTTTGCAATTGAACGCTGCGCGACCGGACTCCACGCTTGGCGGCCAATTACCGCGCTGGCACTCTCATGTGAAACCGAGAGGAAGGTTGAGATACTTAGCATGACTACGTGACTACTTGGCTCTGCTACCTTCGTGTGGCTCCAGGACCGATCTACGCGATGCTGCTCCGTACTGTTTCAGCCGACAAGCACTTGAGGCGCTCTTACCCATCTCCACCAAACAGGGTTGCCCGCGACGGCTGCCCCGTATCCTGGAGGACCGGCGAGCACATGAGAGGGCAGAGCGACCTCCACATAGGACCACGGTCGAGCTCGGAGAGTTGTGCCTGGCAAGTTTCTGCGGTGCCAAAATGGCCAAGCGTGATTAGCTGAGGCATCTCGCTTCACGCACTGAAATTTCGGCTGTCTGCTGGGCTTGTGGCAGCCTCAGGACCCTACTTGAGTGTACATGGGCAGAGCCCCCTGAGCTCATGTGTCCTTTCCGATTAGTCGAGGATGTGCTACCATGGTTTCGGACCAGCACCTAGTAGTAGGGCGGTTGCACTGTCTGGTTAAAAATAGCAAGTACGATCCTTCTCTGATTTCTTTTTTGGCAACTGAGGGCGACGCTTGCACTGGCCTGACGGCGTCGTCTCCGGCCTGGAAGTGCGTGCGACAGGGGCTGAGCCAAAAGGAGCGGTAATGACCTGATTTTTGGGCTTGAGGTCCTATGTGAAAGACTCCCGAGTGGACTCGGTAGGACTGCCACGTCCGGGTTTGTCCCTCACCCCAAACCGGCAGTTCTACTGAGGGCATAAGGTCAATTGGGTTTTGAAGCTTGTCCCCGTGAGCCCACCGGCAGATGACTACTGCCAGATTTGGGAGCCCAGAGCAAGGCTCTCTGAAATGTGTGATTGCTCCATGCCTGAACCAAGTGCGTAATGCAGCTGTGGGTCTCTTTGTGCGGCAAGAGCAGCGGCGATTCCCCGATGTCTGCCGCTTCGATTAGACCGTCTGTTCTGCCCTGCCATTGGACCTGCTGCAGGTCCCCGACGCTGGGCGTGGAAAGCATTGTGAAGAATTCGGAGGCGTCTTGTTGGCGTCCATCAAAGTCTAGCGACGCATGAGTGTTCGGAGCGAAAAGAGGCCTGTGGGGTTGAGGGGACGGGAGTCCGTGGCATGTGCGGAGCATTGCTCAATGAGGGGCTGGAGTGCTTCGAAAGCGTAGCGATCTAACCTCAGTGGCGCCAGCGCCTGTAGCACTGAGTTGACATAGCAGGTGTTCCCCGCGTTGAGCATTGTGCGGATGGTGTCCTGAGGAGAACCGAGGGTCGCTCCTGGGACCTCGGGGTCATGCAATCCCTGAAGCTCCGCCGGTGTGTCGCTGGAGCACTCGAATCCTGGCAAGCTTTGACGTTGCCTGCCGCTTTGACCGAGAAGAAAGAATGCAAGGACCGAGTCCCCTGTGCTGGCTTCTCGTTCGGACCATTCCCCTCCCTGCTGCGGAGCCATGGGCTCGGTTCCACCAAAAGCAGACCTGAAACAGGACAACGCATTGAGCCCGATGTTTTTTCTTGTCATGGTTCTTCCTTAGACAGTAGGGGCAAGGGTGACCCTTCATCATCTGCGTGGTATAGCCTGCGCAGAGCGAGCTCGAGCCGTCGCCGTCCTTTTGCCAGTCGCAGGGGTGAGGCGTCCAAAGCATAATGCATCTATGCGGCTTGGCCCAGGTGGGCTCGCGGTGAGCCTTGAATCTGGCGTTTCAGTTCCTGCAGCTGTAGAAGGTCCGAGTTAGATGTGGCTGATTCTTCAGTGACCGTTAGCTTACGGAGTTTTTCTGGCTCCGGGCAAGCGCCGAACAGAAGGTGGTTTCGGAGCCCCGTCCACTGTTTAAAAACTCGGGAGCAGGTTGCACAAGTCGGCATTCCGTCCTTGGCATGCAGATCCCGACGAAAATCCGGCGGAATAAAGTGAACCAAGGCGTCTCTGTGCATCTTTGCTACGTGCATGCGGAGGCCATGTTCGGAAGCGAACTCTGTTGCACAGTGCATGCATCTATGTTCTTCATGATGAGATGCTGGGGTTGGCCGGGGAATGCTGCTGGTTTCCTTCAGGATGCGCTCGAGGTGGATTAGGATGTGCGGCTGTATCACAACGTCCTGGGGATCAGCGTCAGTTCGCGTGGCTGCACGCTTGTGCAGCTTCTTCAGCCGTCCTTGCATGCGAGTTTCTAGGGTCCTGACCGGGTCCTGTGTCTTGTGGAGGGAGAAGAGGTCTGCCGTTGGTATGTGGGAGATGTTCGCTGGCTGATTTAGCACTGACCTGAGCTTGATGGCGTACCAGCCTCTCAAGTGGCAAGCGGTCTCCTGGGTCATACCAACTTCTGGCAGGCCTGTGACTACCGTAGCCCAGACCGTAGTGAACCAGACTCTGAGCCTAGCTTTCGGGCTTGCAGTGCGGCGGTTGTAGACATAGCGCCGGACCTGCTGGATTTTCTGGTTGGCCTCCGAGATGCGGTGACGTAAAGTCTGCATTGCGAAATTGAGCACCGAGGGAGCTTCTATGCCAGAGAGCGTGACTAGGATGGAGCACTTGGCCTGGTTGACCTTCAGCTTGAGCTGTTTAACTGCGTCCAGTAGAGATGCTCGATGAGCTTGTGTGCTGCTCTCAAGTCTGCGTGGGGGATGTCGTCATGCGTAACCTGTAAGGTGCGCTGGATGGCTTCGAGTCCAAAAACTTCAACCAGAAGATGCATTAAGCGACCAGTTAGGACCGAGGACAAGGTCGGTGCCAACTTGCACCCCTGTTTCATGCCTGTGGTGGTTTCCAGGATTCCACCTCAGCATAGCTGCTAGGTCGTGCAGCTGGTCTATGATGTCTTGCCTTGAAACAGTGTCGAAGGCCTGAGACAGACCCAATGCGAAGGTGACACCACCGACCATGGCCGGTGGACGGAGTCCCCTCTTTCGGTCTTCCCTGCTGGGTTTCGCCAAGCGACCGAGATTTCTGAGCACAAATGTTGCACCGCGCGGCTTTGTGCATCTGAAAGCCACCGGCCAGGTAGGTAGGCAAACTGAGGAAGTGGCAGCATGAAAGGAAGTATGTAGGGCCCCAGCAATTCGGGTGCAGTTCCTGCCAGGCCTTTGGCGTCGAGCATGCCTAGTGGGCGCAGTTGCGACGGCTTGTGCGCCGGCGTCCTCGGTTTGGGGATGAGGCAGAGATCGGCACTGAGGAGCCCGTCCTCCAGACCTGATTCTGGTGTGGCTCTGCTGCAGTAAGCTGACATCGCCTCAGAGACCGGTTGAGCGCGCAGATTTTCCAGGCTGCCTTGAAAACTGCCTTATACCAAGTTTGATTGAGGCTACATGCTTAGCCAAGGTGGCGGAGTCGAGGGGCGGGAAGCTGCCGAAAACCTCAGGCAGTCTCGGGTGCCTCGCAAAGACTTCTGATGCGTATTTGCGCAGCTCTTGTAGGGCTCAGCAAATAGCCTTTAGAGTCCTTTAGTTGGGCTCTGCTGGCAGGTTGCCAGGGGCGTAACTGCTTCAGTATACTTCATAGGCCACAAATTGATCTCCTTCCAGTATGGCCTGATCTATTTCCGCTAAAAAGCGGTCTGCCTTGGCCTGCTTAACGGCCTGTCTATGTTGAGATTGCAGAGCCTCTAGCGCCTGAGCATCGGAATCTAGCTGAGGGGTAAGCGATTGTCCGCTCGCTGCTCCACATGCGCCTCGCCAAAGAGGTGTCTGGCCATTCAGTAACTTTAGGACCAGGAAGCTGCCAATGGCGGACCGGCTTAATCCTGGCCAGCAGTGGGAGATGGCCGCCGTGTTTCCAGTTGCCTGATGGAAAATTGAGGTGGGCTTGCCTGCCACGTGTTGCACGCCGACAGGTGATGCGCCTGAAGAAAATTTGTAAATTCTGGTTCGTCAGGCCGAGCCTCCTGCGGTTGAGCGACTCTAGGGCCTGCCAATCGGGGAAGGCTGGAGACCGAAGAGGTAAAGTGCCATGATCAGGGTGTCTCTAGACGGGATCTGCTTCACGCAGCCAGCTAGGGAGCGGAGGACTGAGGCGGTCCTTTTTGTTGGCTTGAACAGTCTTGGCCGGGACCAAACGTGCTGACAAACTGCCAAGACTGTGGTCCTTGCGCCGTGCCAGTCAAGTCTGACCTCCAGGACCCGACCTCGGAGGTGCTCCTCCCAGCGAATGCTGGAGGTTTGCGCGGCTGAGCAGGACCACTACTCCGTCTGCTCTGGTTGTGGAGGGGGCTTTCGACCCACCATAAGGCTCGAACGTGCTGTAGGCCGTCTGGCGGGCGTGCAGATGTTTGGGCCGAGCCCCCTTCTGTGCTGGAGCTTTTGCTCCTGATTGAGTCTCTGAGGCTGAAGAGATGCAGTACCAACCTGAGGTGGAAAACTCGGCCGAAGCTTGCCAACGGCAACACCATTATGTCGCAGAAGTCTTTGGCCTCGGTTTGCAGCCAGGCTTTATTTCCGCCCATTGTTGCTGATCCAAATGGCCAGCGTTCCACGAGAGGATTTTGATGTCCTTGTTAGCAGAACCATCTCTGGATCTAGGGGTCGGGCCCCTCCCCACGACCCATCGCGGTCCGTGGTTGGAAGCGTGGGTTCGGGTCCACGCTCGCGGCCTCTTTAAGTGTGGCGTGCGCTGGTCCTGCCCTCCACATGTCGAAGGAGGTGGCAGGCCAGCCGGAAGGGACTACCCTTCTCGATTGTATCGAGTCGGGCGCGGTCCCTTACCCTGAGCGTATGGGCTACGTCCAGTGGCTGTGGCGCCGAGGATCAGCCCGTGCCAGCGCGCCGCGATTTTGCAGCGCACGAAGATCTCGGGACCTTCCGCGGTCTTGGTACCCGCCCGGCTCGTTGTTTGCCAGCGACCATGAGTCGCCTGGCAGCTCGCCGAGCGCCGAGAAACGGCCGCTCTCCCCCTTCTCAAGGCCCATGGGCGTGCTCTCGCACCGCTCCAGTCCAGGTGTGAACCATGTCACATGTTCGCGCCCTTCCTGCACGATTCCGAAAGAAAGGGCAAAGCGTGCCAGGAGGCTTCGCGGCAGCTTTGGCCTTTGCCTTAGGCTTCGGCTTAGGCTTAGCCTTGGGCGCACCGGACTTGCCGCCCTTACCCTTGCCCCTTCCCACCACCTTTGGGGCGCCAGAACCGGCCGCCAGGTTACTGTCCCTTCCTGCCGCGCCTCACTTGGCCGCGGCATTCGCGGCAGCCTTGAGCTCCTTGATCTCCCTCTGCGCCTTGGCCAAAGCGGCCGGACTTCTTTGGGGTGGGCCGCTTCTCTCTGCTCGTACTCAAGCACCACCTTATGGCACTCGTCCCACGTGGCAGGGGAGCGGAGGCCAACATCCCTCCGTCTCCGGGCCAGATGCGTCTGTCCTCTCGAATCTCCTCCTGGAGATGCGGCGGCATCTTCCTGACATAAGACAAGGAAAGTTCCGAGTGCCTAAGCCGACCGCCTCAAGATCGGCTATCGAAGCCTCGAACAGGGGCTCGAATTGATGCTCCGTGAGCTTCCCTTTCATGAGGGCCTGATGCTCACCATCAACCCGAACCTCCCGCTCTTCGCGGCTTTCCCCAAACATCAAGTGCTTATTCTTGATGCGGGTGTACACGGCTTCCGGGTCCGAGATATACCTCTCCGGACTTCCAAGCTGCCCTATAGGCATTGGTGTACGTTTTCTGCCGCACTCATGCCGCGGCAGTTGTTTGCGAGAGCGCAAACATCCTCGAACTCTTCGTAGAAGAGCACCACTTGTCGTCCGTAAGCGTCGGCCAGACCAGGTCTGTCTTGACCGACGTGATGGATTTCTGCCCTCCGCGGGAAGTCAGAGCCTCTTTCAAGGCCTCTGTCTGCTCTTAAGGGCAGCAGCCTTCGGAAGGGCCGCAGACACGGCCTCCTTGATAAGGGCGCCAGGCTTGGCCGCCACAGGCCTACCTCTGGCGCTTTAGCAGCCGCCTTGGCGGTACTGCCGGCAAGCGCCGGCGGCGTAGCCCGGAGCGGCGGCGACTGGGCGCCCGCCGCCCCCGCAGAACGTCAGAAATAAAGCTCCAAACCTTATCTTATCGGCGCTGGCGCTCTGCCTGCCGCCGAGGGCAAGGATGAGCACACCGATCGCCTGGATCTTCTTCTGGATGTCGGCGGCATCGCCGTCATCTCCTTCCTTAAGCGCTGCGACCGAAAATCTGGTCCGCAAGCGGCGGGCCATTCTGGTCGGGCGCCAGTCGCCACCGACCTGGCCGAAATCTCAAGCTCCGACGGCGAAACCGCGACGCCATGCACGCGAAGCGCCAAGGCCACGCGCGCGATGCGCGTGAGGTAGCCCCCTACCACCTCCTGGTCCGGGCGGAACACCCGCAACTCTGCCTGCAAGGACTCAGCCGTTGCAGGGATCGATCCCACGGGTCGGCTGCGCGCCTTCAACGGCCGTGGCCAGCCCCCGGCACGGCGGCAGGAACCGCCCGCGCAGGGACGGCCAACTCCGCCGGGCCATTCCCTGCAGCAGGAATCAGCTCCGGACCCTTAATAGGAGGGAGGAACATCTTCCTCTTCATCTTCCTCCTCTTCTCCTTCTCCCATATCATGGAGGAACTGCATTACGCCCCGCTCGGGCAAACTCCTCCGACGTCGTAAAGCGTCCGTCACGGCAGGGCCGGGTCGGAGTCCTTGTGGGAAGCCCCCGGGGGGGTGGCCTCCGTGTGGGCCAGGATGCTCCAGAAAAAGGACGCGCGCGGCTCCCAGGTGGGCAGGTTGTGGGCAGGCTGGATCCGAGGCACGGCGACGAGCGGCTTGCGAGGTTCGTC